CCCCAAAACCCCAAAACCCCAAAACCCCTGGGTGTTTACATTTAAGACATTATTAATTAAATAATTCTAGATAAATAATTTTAGAAATAGAAAAATCCAATTGATTGAAAGCAATGGCAAGTGACGATAAGAGGCAAACTCTGAGAGATACAGTTTTCAAAGAGTCCTTCGATTTATCACAGAAGATGCGTCTTGGAATGTTTTCTGTCCCAGTTTCAACAGCAATAGGTGATGATACGTATTTCAAGACGAAGCCTGCTAGAAGAGATGCTGAAGGCAATGTCATTACAGATCCTAGAAACTTCACTACTAAAAACCCTAAGAAGGGTAACATAGATAGTGTACTATTCTCCAAACCAGAATATATAAGCATAGGAGATCCTTTCAAAGAACCATAGAGGGTACCAATGAGAGATTCTAAGAAGGATGGTTTTAAGAGTGGAGGTCATGACTTGAATTTTAAGCCAGCAAAGACTGTTTAGCGTACAGTCAAGGCTGACTTTGAACATATGACTGATTTCAAGGAAGTTTCAAAAAGTAGAAAAGCCCCCGAAGGAGGAGTGATTACTGAGCCTAAGAATTTCCTCACTAGTCCACCTAAGAAAGGCATCGTAGGTAAAGGTACCACATTTACTGGGAATATAGAACACCTTCCTGATCCCTTCGACACTAAAAAAGAAATTGCTAGAAAAGAAAGATAAGATCATTAGAGTAAAGTCTAGGATAAACCTTTTTCTTAAAAAGTCAAAGGCATTCAAACATTTGCAACTATAAAAGAGGTTTTCGGGGAAGATAGAAACTATCCTTAAAAATAGCCTCCAAGCCCAAAATCACCATTAATGACTCATGATATTCCTTTTAAACCCTCAAATCCTCCCAAGAGAGGATATAACAAGACTTTGGAAAAATTCCCGGAATATAAAGAAGACCCTCTTAAAGAAATCACTCGTAAAAAGGAAGAAGAAGGAAGCAGTAGTGCAAAGTGGAAGCCAACTCACAATGCAAAAACAGTACCTACACCTTCAATTTCTACTTAATATAAGAACTTGAAAACTGAATTACCATCTGCTTTCCAAAAATTCTGATCATTCATAGCCCATAAAATGAGAAGATAATGCAAAGCAAGTTTATTTTAGTTTATTTAATTTATTAAATTATGGCATTAACTGATGAAATTTAGATATAATGGGGTTTTGGGGTTTTGGGGTTTTGGGG